TGGTCGCCAAAGTTACCAGGATAGTGGTACATAAGTTATCAGGGTCTGCAATGTGTGAGTTATCATGCTATTACCGAGGTATATTTGATCAACTCCCCCCCCCAAGGTCGCTGAAGGTACCAGGACCCTGGTGTGTAAGTTATCAGATATGCGATGTGTGAGTTACCATACTATTCATACAAAAAAATTATCGAGTGTATGTTTACATTAGTTTTTTTATAAAAAAAGCTACGACGATATTTGTACATAAGCTATCAAGTTTGTGGTACATATAATTATCAATCTCATTACAAAAGAAGTTACCGAGATATGACAAACGAGAAAAGACTGTTGTTCAAATACTATAGGAGTGAAACATTTATTTCCCTAGAAAACATTCATCGCTACAAAAAAAGAGACAAGTGGAGTACAAAACACGTTGCATCGGCCCTTTAAAAAACTTGGAGCAAATGGTTTTGTCTCCTCATCAAAGGCGTTGTGGTCTTTCTTTCTCGCTCTCATTTACGAAGGTAGAAAAAACAAATTAACCCGCAAGTAAAACAGAATAGGTGGTCAGCTCGGCTGGTAATGCGTCATGGCCGCAACCAATAGGTCGTGTGTTTGAATCCTAGGGGTGGCACTATTTTTCCGAAGCTCTTTTTACACGCCAGAGCAGAAAAGAAAGATCGAAGGGAAAAAAGCGATCGTACGTGCCTGTCGCTAACCGACAGTCGGCAGGAAAATAGCTTTTCCATTTTTTACGGGTAACTAGGGACTTTATTAAGTAGTAATCAACATTGGAATACAAATAATGTCTGGTAATGTCCCTAGCCAAATGTGGCGTTCGCCAGTGCATGCGCTTTGAAGTTATTCTCTCTATGTTCAAACTTGAACTTGACATGGTGGAAATCCCTTCTCCTCTCCGATATTTCATGTAACACCGATGCATAGTGTGTCGCCGTTGCTGTTTCTATCCTGTTCACCACTTCCAGACAGTCGGAGGCAATCAACAAACGGGTTAGATGCAGGTCCGTAGCCAAGGCGAGAGCTTCATTGCATGCGTGTGCCTCCAGAACGGCCGCATCGTTTAAACCGTCAAAAACCAGTGCCGAAGCCCCCAGGAACAGGCCATCCTTGTCTCTGCATATCACCGCTGCTGCCCCCACATGGCCCTGCCTTGATATACCTCCACCCACATTAAATTTTGCTGCATCTTCCTCCGGTGGAAGCCATGTTTTGTTCCGAGGCCGGGTCCCGACAGCTGACAAAGCGGTCGGCACTTCCCGTTTCACTGCAATCTCTAGGTCCTGAAGATACCTCGTGATAAAGCACCAAGTTGACAGCGGGCTCTGAAATTCATTGTCATGGATAGCTCTCCTACGCGCCCACCATATAGCCCACATAGTGATCAAAACTTTTGCAAGCTCCTCTTCATTTAAAGTTACAAACAACCAGAACAACCACAGCCTGGGATCCAGAGATCTATTAGAAATGACATGTTCCGGTACGTCCTCTTCACCTAGTGCCCACACACAACGAGCCATACGACAGTCAAACAAAGAGTGGCGCCATGTATCTTCATGTGCATTGCACAATGGGCAAGCCGCTGTGTCTGCCATATTTCAATGATGTCGAGTAACCCCAGTTGGCAACGAGGTATGTGCCAGGCACCAGGTAAACACCCTGACCTTCGACGGTACCCTCGTCTTCCAGAGGCGGGTCCAATCCCGTTTGGTCGAGGCTTGATAAGATGTGCTCGCGCCATGATCTATCCAATCCTCCCGTTGATACTTTGTACCTGTTAACATCCTGTATGTTGATTTGACCGAGAAGATGCCTCCCTTGTCATAGTGCCATGCATAAAAATCATCTTGCAACCTTGAGCTCAACGGGATGTTCAGAATAGCATCCACGTCAGGGCCAACAAAATGTTCGACGAGCATCTGTTTGTTCCACGTCCTCGTGACCGAGTCGATCAACTCCGACACCTGGAGCGGTGGACCAGCCCTCAAAGCACACAGAGGCCGCAGCTTATAGTCACGTGGTATCCAGTTATCACTCCAGATGTCAGTATCCTCACCTGTCCCCACTCTTTTGATGATTCCGAGTGCTAGGATTTCCTTACCCTCCATAATAGAGCGCCAAACCTAAGAGGGATAATTACCTAATGAAGCCTCCAGGATGCTGCTTTGTGGGTAGTAACGTGCCTTGAGCACCCTTGCGCTTAGAGAGTCGGGGTCCTGTAGCAGGCGCCAGGCTTGTCGGGCTAGCAAAGCTAGGTTAAAGAGTTCTATATCTCTAAAACCCATTCCTCCCATGAATTTAGGCTTACACATAGTATTCCATGACACCCAAGCCGTTTTCCTTTCTCCTCTTTTGCTACCCCACAAAACTTCCTGAGTAGACCATTAATGTGCTCACACAAACCTCTTGGCAATTTGAAACAAGCCCTAGAATAAGTTGGTATAGATTGTGCTACCGATTTAATGAGAACTTCCTTCCCTCCAGCTGATAAGCACTTTTCCATCCATCCTTGTACCTGCTTCCAAATTCTATCTTTTAGGTACCGAAAGCACCCCTCCTTCGAGCTGCCAACATCAGTTGGTAGCCCAAGATATTTCTTCGAAAGCGATTCATTATGCACATCAAGCAAGCCTTTAACCACATTCCTCAATGGATCTGGCACACCTTTGCTGAAGTATATTGACGATTTTTCTGTATTGATGCGTTGGCCTGACGCATCACAATATTTCTTCAGCAACTCCCGGACTTCAATTGCACTCTTCGTTGTTGCCTCAAAGAAAAGCAAATTGTCATCCGCAAAGAGGAGGTGGTTTACCGCCGGCGCTGTGGCCGCAACAGAAACTCCTCCAATCCCTGCATCTTATGCTTTCAGTAAGCAAGAGAGGCCCTCAGCCGCCAACAAAAATAAATAAGGGGAGATAGGGTCCCCTTGTCGCAAACCCCGTGATGGCCTGAAAGCATCCAGAATTCCACCATTAAAAAGAACTGATAAAGAAACCGAAGATACACACCTCATGATGGTTTCAGTAAACCTCGGGCTGACACCCAGTTTTAGCATCACCGCTTTGAGATATGACCACTCAAGCCTATCATAGGCCTTCATCATGTCAAGCTTCAGAGCACAGAAACGATTGCCCTTCACCCTTCTCGTTTTCATGTAATGCAAGCATTCTGTAACACCCACGATGCGGCTATATCTCCCACGTGTCGGAGCACGACTTAGAGTCATAACCGCATTGTAGGCATGTCACAAGAGGGGTAATCTTTACACATCCCATGTACTGAATAAGAAAGAGGTACAGAGTTGGCTTACAATCGCCACTTCACACAATACATGAATATATCATTACATCATCCAGATACAATCAAGGTCCGACTACGGAACCAAATAAAGAAAGACCAACCCCTAATGCAAAAGATCCCCGATCGCCTTGACTGGGCTCCACTACTGATCAACTGGAAACGAAACAACACAACGAACAAGATCTTCATCGAGCTCCTCCTTGAGCTCGGTAGCGTCACCTACGCGATA